AAAAAAAAAAAAAATACAAATTGGCGGAGATTAAAATCAAATTTGTAGATTCGATTAGCGTACGATCGTCGGAGAATTTTTAAAATTAACATATTATCGAAATTCAAATTTATTGTGATTTTGCACCTATTTGGTGGAAATTAAAATCAAATTTTTAGTATATTTTGATAAAAGTTAAACAATTATGGATTCCATAAAATATATTATCAAAATTAATTGTTAATTTTTGATTTAGATTAAAATTTAGATTTCAATCGATACCAAATATGATTTTAAAAAAAAATTCTCAAAAGTTGGGGGCACGTGCCCCCGAGACCCCCCGGGTCCGCCCATGGCAGTGGTTAGACAAGAAAATAGATAGAAGTTTGTTGCTATTATGCATTCAGGTTCCAGGTAAATTCTTGCTTTTGGGTTTCAAAATTTGTTTCACTATAAGTAGCCAAAATTACAATGTGATACAAATTATTTGATCATCTTGATAACACATTAGCAACAAAAGGTGCCATGTCGAAGCAAAAGCAACGATGAATATGAGCGATGAAGTGGTTTTGAAGAAAATGGGTTCTTCTTCATAAATTGATGAAGAGTAATACTCTCTCATTAGTGGTCATCATCAATAATGAATTAGACGCTTCATTGTCATCTAAACTAATGATGGTCATCACTCATGATAAAGCATCGCTCAGTTTATGAACGCTCTTCTCCTTTAGTAAATCATTGAAGAATATCACAAGGAAATGAAGAAACGAACTCAAAAACAACTCTTATTTTTTACTTCAGTGTAAATTTTATTAGTTCCATCGGTGGATTATGATGGCAAAAAATTGAATAACCTGATCCCCATTCGGTTGTAAGAGAAATAACGTCCCATTTTTTACGTTGCACTTTTTTTTTTAATGCTTTTCCCGCCCTGTTGCCATCACTATCGTGTACAATGGCTTCTAATGTTAGTAGAGTCAACAAAACCTTCAATCAAAGTAGAGTTGGTGGTGAAAAAGAGTAGGGGAGGGCATGAACAAATGAAGAAGATGATGGTAGAGTAAAATTTCTTCTTGTTCCTTTTTTTTAAAATCAAAATAAATGTATGATAGGCACTTTGATACACAAACTAACTTTATAATAGTTAAACGTACAGTTTCCTTCATATAAGAATTCAAGTGCTACACAATTAAAAGATTGGGACCTATTTGCTTCTTTTTAAAGGTTGAAAAAGTATTTGCAACACTAAGCTAACTTGGAGATCCCAAATGGAATTTGTCTTTCTTTTTCATTGTCCCCTGCAAGTATTAGTGTCCAATTAGATTAACTGGTTAAGTTTTGAGTAATTATATAAATAGTCACTTAAGCGATCTTTTTATGATAATAGTTACCGAATTTTAACGATTATTAATGATCACTCGATAAAGAAAAACATTAAAGTCATTAAGCGTCATGGTGTCATCCAGCGACATTTTTTATTACACCAAGTTAACAAAAAACGTCATAACAAAAGCGTGATTAACCAATAAGATTTAAGCACAAAAATTGAATAAAAAATAAAATTGTGTTACATTTAATGACACGTTGATACTCAACGATAACAAATAAGATTGTTTTTAACCTAACAACAAATATAACAGTTAAAAACTCTATTGTTTTTAAGAAATAAGTTCAAGGATCATAGGCATAATTTACCCATTTCCAGTTTGCCCAACTTGCGTGGCCGTCTCCAATTCGGCTATATATCCCACTATGATCTCATCGACAATAGCACAATAGTATCAGCTTCGCCGTGTAACTGTGGCGGTGGCGAGGCATTAGATTCAAAAAAGCTAGTTTGGCAACTATCTTTTGCTCTAATAAAGAAAAAAGGAAAAGGGATGGCACAGCCGGCAACAGAAGGTGGTGGTGGTGTTGTTGGTGGAGGAGGAGGAGAAGGAGGAGGAGGAGGAGGGAGGCAGCAACAACAGCAGCAGCAGGGTGTTGGACAGATGCTGACGGGAATTATAAGAGTGGCAGTCTTTTGGTATTTCGCATCCAAATTCTTCGGACCTAAAAAAAGCCCTACTCAAAACTCTAATCAGATCTCCAATCTCTTCCACAAGGGAGAGAAATCCTACTATCTCTATTTCGGGATCACCTTATAATCATACCCAGTTCCTCCAAATGTCTTACAAACTATAGCCCTCGCACCCTCAAAGAAATCCCTCCACTGAAAACTTCAGTAAATCTTTTTCTATTGAATAGCTTAACCAAATTTCCACTTTGCTATACAAAACATGTCTCCATGGATACTTTGATCTAGTTTCAACCAATTTGACTAAAACTTCCTCTTTTATACCAGTTTAGTGAAAGATCCAAGAATAATGAACTATTTAGTTAGAAATTTTTCCTTTTAGCATAACACTTTTAAGACCCCCTTTCATCTAGTCTGTTCAAGTGTTTTCAACAATTTGGATGCAAAGTTTATCTTCTTTAAACAACCACGCCATTAAAAACTTCAAACGTTTCCACCAGCTGAACTGTTCGATCGACATTTTCTAATTGTCAACATTCCACTTCTCCAGAATCTTCAAAACAAGCCCTTTTTACCCCTTTGAACTTAGGCAAGATTCAACTTTATTACACGAATCAATCAATATATTCAAAACTACGAATAATTTGATATAAATCTATTTTAAGAGAACTTCTAAAGCAAGTTCTGTACAATTTCAAAAATCTAGTTTTTTCAACATTTTGATTGAAAATTCATCTTTTGAATAGCAACTCTCCTCTAAGTTCCTCAAATTCAAGCTTTTTGAACAATCACATTGAGAATTTACCAATTACATCTCTTCATTAAAGCTGAATTATTAGATTGAGATCCCACTAGTTAGCAGCGCCATTTTAACCCTTTTAAAAGCAAGTCTTTTAACAATATCATGAACAATGTGCATTCTCTCAATGACTCCTTATATTTTATAATTTTTAATTGTTAGCATTTTATTGTTCACATTACCTCCATATCAAGAATTTCAATCTTTAATCATCTGTTAGGTAGCAGCATCTTGGTACCATCACTAGTGTGAAAACCCAATTCCATCTTAAAGTTTCCTGATCCACTTATTCATGTAGACACCCCCCAATTCCATCTTTAATCATGCTTTTTCCATTGTTCAATCCGCCAATAAAGTGAAATTACCCGCCGCCACCACCGCCCCCCGCCCCCCCCCCCCCCCCCCCTTCCCTTCTTCCAGTAAATCTTATCACGGGATTATTCTTTTTGTGCAGAGGTCCCTTGTTCTACCCTTTCTTAGAAGTCCATGACCAGTGATATTGTTTTAAGTTCCTTCAATTTCAATTGCTATTAATTTTTGGTTCACAGTTTTGGCTCAATTGCTCTTGAAGTCACCTGAAATGCATCTAATAATTATGATGCAGTTGCAGATGATTATTTTCAAAAACATGATATTCAGTGTGTATGCTTGCTTCCAACACAATTTTTTAGCATTTTTTAATATGCTTCCTGAACTGGTTTAATGATACCAAAAAACTTGGCACAGTCCATTTATAAGAGAAAAACACAAACAACTATGTCTTTAAAGCCATTTTCTTAGGAGGGAAAATTGTGATGCATTCCCTCTCTCACGGCTACCTGATCCTTGATCATAACCCCTCCTGTTCTATTAACTAATAGTATCCTCAGTTTACTTAAAAATTGAATAGAACTCTGCCTGTATTGAAGCTTTTGGCTTTAAACTTCTAAAGTTCCATATCACTTCACTTTTTGGCCAAAGTGATCCTCTCTTTTATTTTCCACTCATTATCTGCCCTCCAACTTGAAATCTTTGTATATTTATTTCAGGATATGTGGTTATACCTTTCAGAGAAGGAACATTTTAATGATTTTGGAAGTGAAGGATCACTTTTTTGGTATGAGACAAATATACCTTATGCAGTTTGGGGTCCAGACAGTACCAGGTCTATATCATTGAAGTACTATCCTTCTGAGGTATCAATTATGGGCACATTATAGTCATATTTTTCATCATGCAACTGCTCACAATCAAACTTCTGGATGTTTATTCCATCAAATACCCCTAGAAGTTATCAATGCTTGCAATGGCTTTGATTTATTTGTTAATCAAAGGTGTTAAATACAAGGATTATTATTTACCAAAAGTGGATAACTATATTACTTGTTATTTGTCTCTCAGGCTTTAAAGCATAATGGGAGTCTTTATGCTCATGTTTTCTTTGCACGTTCTGGTTACCCACCAGATCCCAACGATCCTGAATACCAGCCTTTCGCTGCCTTTGGGCGGACCCACGGTAAGATCATAGTAACCGATAAACTTTTTCCCTCTCTTAGGTTAAAATGTGAAAATTTGCAATGTTATAACAAGATGTGTCCTTGCATTTAGCTGTTGTAACCTATTTGCCCAAGAAAAGAACCGACAAAAGGAAGAGCCTGTTGGGGAATTCAGAAGCCCCTAGTGATGGTGAAAGTATCTCTGAGGTACTCACTGTAATGCTTGTTTGCTGGTTTCTACTCAACCTCCTAAGCCATTTGGTTATCATCCTTGTTTCGTAATTTTCATTTTGGACTATAGATGAAGTTATTAATTTGAATGTATCCTGTGCACATGTTCGTTTTGTCATACCCTGGATAATGTTAAGATTTTCTTGCACATGTTTGTTTTGTCTGTTGTGCGTAGAAATTTATGGCTTTGTTGAAGAATTTAGTCTTTTGCTTTAGGTAACTGACGATGATCAAGTTGAAAACAGAGAACGCGGACCAGTTGAATGGATTTCATATTGGAAACCGAATATTACAATCAATTTGGCTGATGATTTCACGGGGTAAATTTTTTTTGAAGATTGTTTTTGGAATTTGTTTCGAGAATGTGAATGTACTAGTAGTAGTTTTGATGCCATTAGCACTCTTTTTTAAATATAGTTTTCCCGTAAGGATGAATTAACACTTTAAAAATCCTTTTTTAATTCATATATTCATTACCGTTGGTTGGAATTGTAATTTTACTTCTACTGCACCTTTGCAAGAAGTAGGCTTTTTTTTTTTGGATTATGAATTCGTAAGAATTTATCATGACAGTTGATTTCCTTCGAGATTTTTTCATGATGGTATACAAGCTGTACTTGTAAATTGTAATTTTGAAGTTTTTGTGGATGAGATGATGAACTTACCAGTCTAGCTATCATGATCAAATGAGCTATAAGAATAGTTTATGAAGAGAATACATACATTGTCTTCAAATTAAGTTCTTTTTCATGGAAATATGCCTCTGCTGTATCATTTTTCTTTTCCAAATTGTGGTGGATATGTCGCTTGGAAATGATTATAAACGGGGTAAATAAATAAAAACCCCTAGAAGATTGGTGCTAGCACAAAAAAGCATTCGAGGTATGCCTCGAGACAAATTGTGTATATTCTTCCACTTGTAAAAGACAACTGAAAGAAGTAGTAAAGCAGGATGTGGATGCCTGTAAACTATCAATAGAAGGTGTAGTGCATACCCGCCTTCAATCTCTAGTTAAATAGTAGTGTTACGTGTCACTGCAACAAATGAAAGAACGTGCTGCGAAGATGCATTTTCACATATGAGGATGAATGCTGAATTGCGTCTCAGGTTGATTTTGTGTAGAGTACGTACTGCAGTCTTTTGTATTTGTGGATTGTGCTGTATCTTCATGAGTTGCATTATGAGTCTATGACTCAAAGAAGTTGTTAAATGTTTATGTTATGGGTTTTCTGTGGATATTGAATTGTAGTTTTTATCCCTTTCACTGAAATTCCGGTGGATGAGATGCATTTATATTGACGTGCCAATCTTTGTGTATTTCTGCAGATATTCTCAAAATGCAGTTCCACCAAATATAGCGCCTTGTATCCTTGAACTATCATCTTTATTTTACGTCACTATTATTTTCATATGGACTTTCTCTTTCACTTCATTAACTTTTGTTATTCTTGCTGCTCCTTCTCAGTGTATTTTGGCTTCCGGTTCGCGCATTGACAAAGTAATTGGTACTGATATATTGTATTATTAGTTGCCTGTAAACCCATACATTTACGTATCTTCAACATATTCTGTGACTTAGAGTCTTAGAGTTCAGCTGTAGTAAACAGAACGCGATTGCTTTGGAATGGTTGCTCGTGCTTCATTGAGTTTTTCCTAACCGCTTAAAGTAGCGGTATAACAAATACTTTTGATGTATATCTTATAAAATTACTTGTGAATGACTTTTTATGGCACTGTTTGCATGTGTACAATTTTTACTTTTTCCAATCTGATAGAGGGGCTAGTTGAGTAGCGGAGCTTTAGGCTGTGTAACATAGAAAATTAGACGTACCAGTTCTTGATCAACTTAACTTTTTTTCCGATATTATCTTTTTGTCTTTTTAGACAAAGTTCATATATAGCTCCTGTTTGGATTTATTTATTCATGAACCGCATTAAATTTGAAAAGAAAATTGTTGGTGACTTGAAAAGAGAAACATTTGGTGCATCCGATCAACAGGTCATTTACCTTTTCTTTTGGATTAACGGGAAATAAATATTTCATATTTGCTAAAACTACCTACTCCTTTTTGACCCTTAGCCTAGAATGAGGACAAACTTATGTCAGGCTGAAGCTGAGATGTTTTAGGGTTTGTAGATAATAGAGTAGATTTAGATAGTCTGGACTATGTTACATCTCACATAAAGCAGGGTAAAGGTCTTCTGAAGACTACCTTGTGAATGTGAAATAAATAATCAGAATAACATGGTTGAGTCGGGAACCAGCCTCCTTGTTGCGTAAATCCATTTTGTCTCAGTTTTGATTATTATGGGTTGCCTTTTTCTTTCTTTAACACCACCCGGGGCTGGCACTTACATGAGTACATTCTACACTTCGTATGTTCATATTGAGTAAATCTATTATGGCAGCATTAACGTTCTTCTCTTTCAAGCTATTTGGTGATTATTGATGATTCTCTCATGTTTTCACCATTAGTTTAATTTATTTTCGTTGAATTGATTAAATTCTATGATGCTTGAAGATGCAAAAAGCGTACTTGTCTGTATATTTATTTGCATATAATATTCCCTTCTAATCAAGTTTGCATAATATGATTCAGTTTTCCAAATTTGTTGCACGCCTCTGTATTCTGATTGGATGCTTGGTTTGCCCTTCTCCCATTGTTTCTCGAGTTTTGATTACTTTGTTGATTGCCATTCACGATTGTTTTCTCCAAATTTTGCGTTTCCATGTGTTAGCAATTCCCAGTATTTTGCTTATGTTAAGATTTTTCTGTTCAGTTGGTGCTTCTTTAACTAAGTAGCAAGAGATCAATCAAGACTTCTCCATGCAAAAGTTGTTTATTAAAAGTTTTTCAATGTACACACACTGATAGTTCATCCAATTCTATCATCTCACAGTAGGGTGACAAAAGCTTTATGATCAATTCCTTGACTAAATTTTGCAAGTCTTGAACATCGAGCCCAGCACAGGAAACTACTATCCAACCATCTTCTTCAATGAGTTTTGGTTGCTTAAAGATAAGTTAATACCGTTAAATGAGACGGTGAATGAGTTGCCACTGCACTTAGAGGTGGGTCCCATAAGCATGACCAAGTGGCAACTATTCTTGCAGATTGATCAATCATTCCAAATTCACCGGAACTATGGGAGCATGCTTGAAGGTGAAGCTGATGAACTCAAGGTATTTCTATCATCTCTTGTTGTACTCATTATGTTCATCTTGGCACGCAATTATTATATTTTAATATTCTTCTCCAAGGAACTTGACATACGTAGAAGTTTAGCTGGAGGAATTTTAAGAGTGCAGTATTAATTTTTTTGTCTCCTGTAGTAGTTCACTCGATATTCAAAATTTTCGAGATTTATTTTAAGCTAGTCGAGTGCAACTGTAAAACTAAATTTGAAGGATTTTTTCAAGAACATATAGTAGATAAAAATGTCAGAACTGGAATATTGAAGTACGAGGTGGTTTTCTAAATCTTTTGATCATTTTACAGAGAGTTTTTCTAGAAGGAAATCCATACCTTCTGGCCATTACCATGGTGGTTTCACTCCTACATTCTGTGTTCGACTTCTTGGCTTTCAAGAATGGTAGTGACTTCAACACTTTTTCATGTTTACCATGAACATCTTTTTACAGTGTCAACATAATTTTCTCTGTGCAGATATTCAGTTTTGGAATAAAAATAAGTCCATGGAAGGACTCTCTGCAAAGTCCGTTATTGTGAACTTTATATGTCAGCTCGTTGTCTTCCTCTACCTGCTTGACAATGAGACTTCATGGATGATACTTGCAAGTTCTGGCATTGGGTGTTGTATTGAGTTCTGGAAAATAGGAAAAGCTATGCACATTGAGGTACTAATTTTAATTGTGAATTGAAGTTTCATCTTGACTTTCTAATCTCAAACTTCTGAAAAAATGAACAATTCTGCTCCAACACCTAGTTCTTTTTTCTCTCAGCATCTAATTAAACTACTATGGCCTATATCAAGAATCGAGTTTCATTTATGTCATGCGTCCATAATATCGTCTTGTCCAGATTGACAGGTCTGGTAAGATACCAATGTTGAGGTTCCGAGACCGGGAGTCTTATGCTAAAAACAAGACGAAGGAATACGATGATCTTGCAATGAAGTATCTTTCGTATATACTCTTCTTTCTTGTTGTCTGTTTCTCTCTATACTCTTTGAAGTATGATCGCCACAAGAGTTGGTATTCTTTTATACTTTCATCCCTTACAAGCTGCGTTTATATGTTTGGTAAGCATCGCATCCGCTATTTATCTTCCTGCTCTCTCTTTCTCTTTGTTATGTGTAAGATGCAATGCTGATCTTTATATACATGGATGTGAACTTTTTATAGACACATTATGGGTTTTTTGGTATATAGCTTGTGTGTGGAGTTCATCTCTTGGTTGTAAACGTGACTTGCTAAAATGGAATCTTGACTGTGGGATCAAAGAATTCGATTATCATGGATTTTGTCGGTCTATGCAATTTGACTATCCGAAGCATTATATTCTTATTGATAATTAATTTAAAATTTTGTAGCAAATGAGATTATATCTCGATTTATTGCACTGATTATAAATTGATTAAAAAAATTGCATAAATTTTTTAAATATGTATCTCTAAAGAAGGAAAAGCTTTTTGCAGAAATTATATATGGGCCAAAGAGACTATTTCTTGAAAAATTCCATGATGACAGGTGTTTAAAATTAGCAAGTGGATAGAAGTTTGCTCGATCATGTTTAAAGGGTCATTTGTGGTCAGTTCATCGAGTTTTAATAACCTTGAGGGGTTGTTCAATTGGTCAGCCCTTGAATTTGTTCCCCAATGGTCACTAGTTCGAGTCCCCTCAGGGCCACTGAGGTGAGTACCCGGCCGTAAACCTCAGGGCCTCGTGGGATTAGTCGAGGTGCACGCAAGTTGGCCCGGACATCCACGGTTATCAAAAAAAAAGTTAATTGAGTTTTAATGAATTTTTAAGTAACTAAGTTCAATTAATCTTAAGCTGAGCAAGATATACTCTTCAGAATTGAACCATTTTTCTTGTTCTAGAAATTGCCAGACGCATGTTGTTCCTTCCCATTTTTATTATGATCTTGGTATTGTAGCTATATTTCATTTTCTTTGCTGTAGGCTTTATTATGATGTGCCCCCAGTTGTTCATCAACTATAAGCTGAAGTCTGTCGCGCATTTACCTTGGAGGCAGATGACCTACAAGTTTCTGAATACAATTATTGATGATCTCTTTGCATTTGTAATTAAAATGCCAACACTACATCGACTTTCTGTGTTCCGTGATGGTGAGTTCTAGTATAAATTTTGACGTCCGAATGAGATGGTTTACTGTCAGGTTTTATTTCATCTGAAGTGGTTTATATGTATATGTGACCTTTCCCTATTGATTTTGCAGATCTTATATTTTTGATATATCTATATCAAAGATGGGCCTATCCCGTTGATAGGAAACGGGTGAATGAGTTTGGTTTTGCCGCGGAAGGGGATCAGGCTTCTACTACTGATGCAGCTGAACAAAAGGAAGATGAGAAGAAAACTAACTGAGCTGTAGCTAGTTTAGATGGAAAGATCTGATATTTTGCAACATAAGATAGCTTTAAAGTTTGGCCCGAACAGTCATGTCAGTCTAGTTATGTTTTTCTTTTTATCGTCTGAATATTTGTTTATGTCCACCGTGATGTAATCGGGATGATGTTAAAACTGCGTGGCTTTATTAAGAAGATGCAGTGTCAATCTTGTTTGAAATACTTCAATGCAATCACCACCAGACAACTGATTTCTTAGATTCTGTATTATTTCTTGCTTCAAGTCTATGACATGTTAAAAAACCGCGGCCCAGTACCTGTAGAAGCACCTTCATTTTGTCTTCACTTACCTCTGTTACTTGGCTTTTAAGTTGTAATTTCCATGGTGGTCGTGGTTGCTCTTTATGTGGCTGCCAGTCTACACATCCAATTAAGTCGTCGTAGTTTTCTGATTAATTTGATCGTATTTACAGCTGTTAATTTGTATAGGAGGAAATTCATACCTTCTGGCCACTTACAAGGTCATGGCTTTCAAGGATGGTAACAACTTCAATACTTTTTTGTGCTTACCACGAACATCGTTTTATTGAAAAATATGGCATTGGCTGTTGTATTGACTCCTGGAAATTAGGAAAGGGTATGCACATTGAGGTAAAGCTCTTAACTGTGCATTGAATTTTCTGATTGTAGACCTAAAACTAGTTATTGATTAATCGAGTAATTCACAATCGTATCAATATTGCTTTTTTAAGTCAAAACCCCCAATTGAGGGACATCAATGCAAAGGAAGAGAATATGGACTGGAAGTGCCAAAAAAAATGAACTCGAGGGGATCAAAGTGCACAAATGTCTAAAGTTTAAGGACTTTGGATGCAATTTATCAGGGCTCGATTGAAATAAAAGTTAAAATTTGATTACCAAAATGTACAAGATCAAAGCTGAGGGCTTGGCCCACGCTGACCCCCTTGCTCGCGCTGTTTGGCTCAAGGCGTCGCATGAAGGCTTGGCCTGCGTGCTGGCTATGTTTTGCCTCCATTTTTTAGCTTTCAAGTCCTCCAAGAATTGCATATTAGGTCCCTCAACTTTGATCATATACATTTTGATCCTCGAATTTTATCTTTTATTTCAATCATGTCCTTGATAAATTGCATTTAAGGTTCTCCAACTCTTGGTACTTGTGCACTTTGATCCCCAGTTCACGTTTTTGTGCACTTTTAGTCCATTTTCTCTTCCTTTGCATTATTCTCCCTCAATTGGGGGGGGGGGGGGGGGG